GAGAGAGAGAGAGAGAGAGAGCACAGTGGAGTCAGCTGTCTTAACCGTGGCTTGTGTACTGCAAACACATACCAGCTTCATCACTGTGTCTGTCACGCGACTCTGTTCCCCTTTTGGGCTCTGTCTTTACATTTATTTTAAAAGATGAAGCTCGCGATTATGGTAAGGGGCGTTACATTTCCGACGAGTGCTTGCGGTGTTCGGCCAATCACAATGCACTGGGTCAGCTGGCCAATCAGAGCAGACTGCGATTGTCGGAAGGAGGGACTTTGTAGAAAACGAAGCGTTTGAGAGAGGCGGGGCATAGAGGACCTACAATAATGTACAGTTTTTGAAAAATAATGTGTTTTTTGAACATTAAAGCATGTCAACATATTCTGTTACACCAAATACACCAAATAATGATCTTTAAAAAAGCATCATATGACCCCTTTAATACTCTAATGATTTTTGGCATAAAAGAAAAATCGATTATTTTGACCCATACAATGTTTTTTTGGTTATTGCTACAAATATACCCCAGCGACTTAAGACTGCTTTTGTGCTCCAGGGTCACATTTTTTTTTTTACAGACTGTATCATGTAAATGTAGACTAATGCAAGGTTATTTCTTCCAATAGCTGAGAACTGTAGAAATGGCTGACGGGCTGCTCGAGGATCAGTTTGACACGACGGTGAAGATGAGCACCTACCTGGTGGCCTTCATCATCTCCGATTTACAGTCCATCAGTAAAAAAAGCCAGCATGGAGTCGAGGCAAGTCGATCCCGTTGCCCCGAAAGTATTATAAATACACTTTATAATTTACCCATACCTCATTACACTGTCCATTGACTCTTCACAACCTGAATCCTGATATAGATATCAGTGTATACTGTTCCCGAGAAGATCAGTCAGGCAGAATATGCTCTCAACACCGCCGTCACACTGCTGGACTTTTATGATGATTATTTTGACATTCCGTATCCACTTCCCAAACACGGTGAGTGTGAAAGTTCAGCAGTCACCATCTTTACTACTGTTGAACATATATTACTATCTGCCATGAAATAATTGGCAACTGTAATCAGAATATTTCTTGGCTTTTTAGAACCTAATTCCAGCTATAATGATCTTTTACTTGCAGATCTTGCAGCGATCCCAGATTTCCAGTCAGGTGCTATGGAGAATTGGGGCCTGTCGACTTACAGAGAGTCCGGTTTGCTCTTTGACCCTGAGAAATCTTCTTCCTCGGACAAACTGGGAATCACTAAAGTCATTGCCCATGAACTAGCCCATCAGGTTGATATTTCTATTACTAATTCATTCTAAGTAATGAATAATAAACGGCCAGTCGGCCTTTATCACCAAATAAATTATTCTGCATACTGGCTTACTGTTCGACTACTTAAACAAATTAATATAATGTGTATAAAATGTATATGAAATATATATTATTTTATATACATTTTATAAACACTGCCATTCAAAAGTTTGGGATCAGTAAAAAATTGTTTTTTTAAAGAAGTCTCTTATGCTCATCAAAGCTACATCTACTTGGTCAAAAATACTAAAAAACAGTAATATTGACAAATATTATTACAACTTTAAATAATCGTGTTCTGTACTAATATACTTTAAAATATGATTTATTTCTGTGATGTAAAGCTGAATTTTCAGCATCATTACTCCAGTCTTCAGTGTCACATGATCTTCAGAAATCATTCTAATATGCTGATTTATTATCAGTGTTGGAAACAGTGCTGCTTAATATTTCTTTGGAAGCTGTGACAGTTTTTCAGAATTCTTTGATGAATAAAAAGTTAAAAAGAACAGCATTTATTCAAAATAGAAGCCTTTTCTAACAGTATGAGTCTTTACGCTTTTTATCAATTATAAATAAAGGTATTAATTTCTTTTAAAAAAATAGATTTTTTTTTTTTGTTACTGACCCCAAATTTTTGTATATTGTATGCAGTGATGCAAAATGGTATTATTATAGAAAGAGAGGTGACATGAAACCAGCACAGATATGTATAAAGTCTGTTGAATCTGATGTCCAGTGGTTTGGAAACCTGGTCACGATGCAGTGGTGGAACGACCTGTGGTTAAACGAGGGCTTTGCCAAATTCATGGAGTATGTGTCCGTCAACATCACCCACCCTGAGCTGCAAGTGGTGAGAGCGATTAATACAGCGAAGAGTTGAGATTGTGATGCCATGTAATTATAATTGGCATGACTGATCTGATTTCGAGGGCCTCTATTTTAGGATGATTATTTCCTGGAGAAATGCTTCACTGCTATGTCAGTGGACTCTTTAACCTCCTCACACCCCATTTCCACTCCAGTGGAG